TGCAGGAGAATGACATCTGTAGAGTAGAGACAGGAGATACGGGGAAAGCTGAGAGGAGGGCAGGGCGGCCTGTGCTCAGAAGATAAAGTCTAGGAAGAAACGGAGGACGCGTGTCATAGATGGATGCTGTTGTAGGGACGTGTGAGGAGTGTGAGTCTCGTGTTTGAGCATGAGTGAGAGCGATGGGACTCTCCATCTGCCATTATCTGCCTGCAGAACTAATTACAAGGTGATGGACAGCAGACTAATCACCAGCGTCACGAGTGGCTTTAAATTAGCCGGATCATGGCGTTGCACCTGATGTGAAGACAGGGGATGGTCATGGGTCCAGAGGGGAGATAATGATGTAGGGAAAGAAATAGACTCCAGGGTGAAAAAAAGATGCAGCATGGAAGATTAGAAAAAGAGGAAAGAGTATTTTCACACTTCCCCTGCTCGCTGTCTGCTTCTTCCCCTTAGTTTTGACTTCTCTTGTCATCGTCACCTCAGAAATTCAGTTTTCCTCGGCTGTTCCTGCATTTTATTTTGTCAGTGTCGTCTCCGTCTCTGTCCTCCCTTGCCCCCGGCCTCTCTTTCCTTCCTCCCTTTTATTCCTCATAGTCTGCTAAATGAAAGCAAGTCTCTGTGCAGGCTCTGTTCTTTCAGACATGATGCTTCAGGCAAACCAGTGGGGTTCCTGAGCATGTGTTAACCACTCCCATTCTCCGCACCTCTGATTCCACATTCAAGTCGACTGAGACGCGCACACACATGAACACACACTCAGACTTGACAGCTGCCTTTGCACCTGTTGGGCTTTCTTAGAAATTCAAATTCATTCTCAGATACATACTCTCTGCTCTGATTTTTCCGGTTTCCTGATTTTTCTCTGCATCGGCCCCTTCTTGAAAACCCATGACACTGACACTAAATGGGCGCACACACAAAGCCAATGTCGCAGCATCATAAAGGCCCCAGATTATACTTCTGTGCCCGTCCTCAGACGAAGGCCTCCAATCAGACACATCTATCCCCACTTTGTGTCCTTTGTGCAGTTTCACATCTCATTAGTCGTGCTCTCTCATCTCACATGTTCATGGAAAAGCTGTGGGACTACTGCATCTTTAATCAAAACAAAAATCAGTTTCAAAGTGGAATTACATTTCATAGAGAGATTCAGGGTCGGATCAGAAGCCCAGCAACTGGCAGGGTTTCAGAAAAACTGATCGTGGACACACAAAATGGATGTGACGGCCTGTGTCCTTAATTATCATTATTTGTCCAAAAGTCATTAAAATAGAGTAAAAACATCCATTATAATTAACCAGAGTCCAAGTTTCTTCTAAAACAAAAAACTCACATTGAAAATGAGGAGTCAATTCATGTTTAGCAGTTTTTGCTTGAAGAATGACTGAAAATATTATTCAATTACCAAGATTAATTTTCTGAGGATTAACCGATCAGTTCGTACAGTCAACGACAGCACTGATATTGGACTATTTTGCGAAAAACCTAGAATTACATTCAATGTAAAATACTAATGTATTAATTCTGTTTTCATGGTGGTTTGGTTACAGTTAGAAAAAGATTGTAGTTAAAACAAACACACTTTGATGAGATCACAGTTGCTTCACAGTTAAATAAAAACCAGAACATTAATGACAGATCTGTCCCCATGACAATCTGCTGTACTACATTACCCATCCACCACATTCTCAGTTGTACTGTCTGTCTCTTTGCACAGAAGACACGTTAGTACTTCCTGTGCTGGAACTGAACATTGACACTGGCTGGAGCTCTACAGCAGAATGGACAACATAATTCCTGGTGATACGAAGCTGGTCCAAGCTATTTGTTATAGAAATCTAAGAGCACTTCAATGTTTGAGTCCCTGGCTGTGTCATATTCCAACATCCAGTTATGTTAAGATTTTCTTTTAAAGGTTAAAAGTGGACTATTTGTAATTAAAGATTTTTTGTGAACAGTTGCAGTGAAGATTTGAAATTGACTGTAGTTCTGGTTAACGCACAAATATCGCAAAAAAAACCCCTAACTGACTCTTTTCTCTGTTTTACTTACGTTAAACATTTCCCAAACCAGCTCCTGATCACTCTTTTAAGACAGGACACAAACAGAAACCCTGCCGCGTCCCTCAGTGAATGGGCCCCCACGGCTCCAGCATTGTTTTTACTGTGCCTCTGTCTGTCTGTATCCTGGCCTGCTCTGATGATCCTGCCATTATCACACCCTTAATGCATCTCACCACACTCTACATTCCCTCTGGCGTGCCATCCATCTGCCTAATGGTCCAGCAGGGTGCGGCCGGCCAGTCATCACTTGTGCACGCTGCCTTTGTGTGCGTGTTTGTGTATATTTTGTGCAGTCACGCATCTTTTAAACATCACCTCAAATAAAGTTTCATGTTGTCCATTACCGATTCTGTGTTTGTATGTGTTGAGCATCTGTGCCTGGTTGAATCTTCCAACTCTAATTACCCCCACTTGTGTGTTTGCTGTCCCCTGCGTAACTGTGTTTGTGCCTTTGTCTGTGTCATCGATGACTGTGTATGCTGTGTATCATGTGTATCGCATGTCTGAGTCTCAGTGAACCGCGTCAGCCATTAGCCCGTTATGGACTGTAACTGAATCCTCTGAAAGCTCGGCTCATGTCTACTGCTGGAGGGCGATAATGGATGGGTGTGTGTGTGTGTGCGTGAGTGTGAGTTTTTGAGTGTGTGTGTGTGTGTGTGAGTTTTTGAGTTTTTGTGTGTATGTGTGTGTGTGTGTGTGTGTGTGTGAAAACAAATAGACAAGTGGAGTCTGCAGAGAGGTGTGTAGAAGAGGTAGAGGGCATCCGAGGTGATTCCCAGCGTTCAGGGCTGAGCAGACTTACGATCACTAAAAACGTGAAATGACTTCAACCTCCCTGCTCTGTGCTGAGTCACCAGCTTCACAGAAAACAGTCACAGGCTTATTTTTGTTCTTACTATTACTATTATTCTAGATATTTACAGTTAGTATTGTTTTTCATCTTTTACGATAAACAAGTTCATTCAAAAAAAGAGGGAGCTTTAAGCAATAATTTTTGTCTATTAGAATTAATTTACAGAGTTTGT